ATAACAGACCTTCCACTGCGCCAAAAAACTAAAAAGTTTATTTTTGGCTTATCAAAATGTTAGGGGACTAAATATGAAGCTACCCAAGCTTTATGCTGACTCCTCTGCATTTACTGCTGATATTTTGGCTTTTACGGAAACTTGGCTGAAACCAGAGATATCTGACAATGAAGTTCTGTCAAACAATTTTAATGCCTATAGGACCGATCGCTCATCACGTAGGGGAGGCGGTGTGCTGATTGCCGTTAGCACTAGCCTAACATCCGAGAGAATTCACTCTGATACTCCTAATGAAATTGAATTTGTTAGTGTGAAAGTTTCCTTGCAATCATTCTCAATATTTGTTACATGTTCCTATATTCCACCTGGCTCTGATTTAATAATTTATGAGCACCATCTGTCTGCGATAAAATCTGTTCTATCCCTTCTTTCTAACAGTGACCTTTTGATTGTTTTGGGTGACTTTAATCTCCCTGATATTTCTTGGTCTCCTCCTACTGACTCACTAGTCGCTATACCTCTATCCGCCCATGATTTCGTAGATGGTCTTCTAGAATTATCGTTACAGCAAGTAAGCTTTATACGGAATTCATTAAATAGACAACTAGATCTTGTGTTTGTTTCAGACCCGTCTGAAGTCACGGTATCTAGAATTGACGCTCTTGTTGTACCTGAAGACCGATATCATCCAACAATGGAATTGACAATCTGCCTCCCATGCGTTGATACCCTCTCTCCTTTAGTTCCTCAAACTAAAGTGAGATGTTTCCGAAAATGTAACTATAAAAAACTTAACGACATGATTTCTCAATATAATTGGACAGAATTGTACAATTGTATGGATATTGAAAGTGCCACTGAACACTTCTATATAGTGTTAAATACCTTTTTTAATGAATGCGTTCCTGATAGGTTTCCTTCAAAGACAAACAGGCCACCTTGGTTTACTAATGCGCTTCAAAGACTTAAAAACCTTAAGACAAACACTTATAAAAAGTATAAGAAATCGGGTAAGCCATCTGATTTTTCGAAATATGTGGTGGCTCGATCGGATTTTAATGTTCTCAATAGTCATTGCTATTCTATGTATTTAAGTAGATGTAAATTGGAATTTTCAAATGATCCGAAGCAGTTTTATAACTTTGTCAATTCCAAGCGTAAGTCGTCAGCATTGCCTTCATCGGTACGTTTTAACTCAATGGAGGCATCGACGGATTCTGAAATTGCTGATTTATTTGCCGAGTTTTTCCAAACTACTTATAGTTCAGCTGCTTGGTCAAATTCTAACTACCCTAATCCCTTAAATAAGGCAAATTGTATCTTTACCCCTGAAATTACGGAAATTTCTCTCGTAAGAGACTTAGAAAAAACAACGCCAACTTATTCTCCCGGTCCTGATGGACTCCCCGGGTGTGTGCTTAAGTTTTGTGCGTCAACCATATGTAAACCGATTCTTAAACTTTTTAATCTGTCTATTTCATCGTCAGTTTTTCCTACTATCTGGAAGGACTCTTTTATCATTCCACTTCACAAAAAGGGTGCGAAGGCGGATGCCCAGAATTACAGAGGTATTTCTAAATTGTCGGCAATTCCTAAAGCATTTGAACGTATTATTACTTCTCATTTGCAACATTTATGTTCCTCGCTAATATCACCGTGTCAGCATGGTTTTGTTAAGCGAAGATCGACCACCACCAACCTTCTGGAATTGTCATCTATTGTAATAAATGGATTTAAAAATAAAATGCAGACTGACGTTATATACACTGATTTTAGTAAGGCCTTTGACTCTGTCAACCACTCTCTTCTCTTATTCAAATTAAATCAGCTTGGGTTTCCATGTAATCTATTAACTTGGATTTCAAGTTATTTGAATGGTAGGACTCAGAGGGTTATATTCAAGAACGCTGCCTCTAAACTGATCTATGTGACATCTGGAGTGCCTCAGGGTAGTCACTTGGGCCCTTTGCTGTTTACTTTGTTTATTAACGATCTTCCCTCTATCATAACACACTCTCGTGTACTAATGTATGCTGATGATGTTAAGCTTTGTTTATCACATAATGATATAGCGTCGGGTTTCAACTTACAGTCAGATATTGATTGTTTTCAGGGATGGTGTGAGTATAACCTTTTAAATTTGAACTGCCTTAAATGTAACGTTATGACTTTTCATAGGGGTACTCCTACTTTTGTTAGTTACTCTCTTCAAAATACGCCACTCGACCGTATATATTCAGTTAATGACTTAGGCGTTCTTCTGGACCCAAAACTTAAATTTGACTGCCACATAATGTCCACTGTCAGCAAGGCCATGAGTGTTCTTGGGTTTATAAAGCGTTGGTCAAAAGAATTTGATGACCCTTATACAACCAAATTATTATATACCTCCCTTGTCCGTCCTATTTTGGAATATTGTTCTTCGGTTTGGAGTCCACAATATCAAGTGCATATTGACCGTATTGAGTCGGTACAAAAAAAATTTCTTCTTTTTGCCCTTCGTAGTTTGAACTGGGATCAAAACATAAGGCTACCTTCCTATCAGAGTAGATTACTATTGCTTAATTTACCTACCCTTGCAAATCGTAGAACAATGCTTGGTACTATTTTTATGCAAAATCTTATAAGAGGTGATATTGATTCTGTAGAACTTGTAAACCGCCTAACTTTCAATGTTCCTGTTAGACTAACACGAAATTATTATCCCCTAAATTTGCCACGATGTACATCTAATTTTTGTCTGCACGAGCCCTTTCGCGTTCTATGTAATAATTATAACAACCTTTATCATTTAATTTGCACTTCAACTTCTATCCCGGTATTAAAAACTAATATTTTAACTCATTTGCTTCATTCTTAGATGCTTCTTTAATTTTCATTTGTGTCCCGTCTCTATTTGTTTTTTGTATCTTCCTCGCGAACTCGTATTTTTGCCCAAATTGATAAAAGGGCCCCGCGCGTAACAAGCACGTGCTTGGTGTCGTTGGGCCACTTGTTTGTACTGCTCGTAGTGCATCAACGTCCATCATATATAACTTGCTCTGCTACAAGTAAGCAGCGCGCCCCCGACGATCGAAATTTCTTCATAAGTCGACGCACTCCTCCCGAAGTTCGTCCACCGTGAGTACATTTATCGCGTAAATGAACCTAACGATGCCGCCCCTTAAGCCCTTCTTTTACCACCTTCACCAACTGCGCTCTGGCATTGATGTTTTTAGGCGTGAAGCGAGTTGCTTCATGGAATGGATGTAATCATCCGCACACTCTCCCGGCTGCTGCCCACTCTGTAGTATCTCATGCATTCTTTTGTGTTCTTCCTGATGACCACGGAACCGGTCCATCAGAGCCCTGCACAGCTGAGCCCAAGTGTCCACTCTGGATTGGCGTAGGTGTACGCAATACCACTCCTTCGCTCTGCCCGAGAGGGGGAGGTGGAAGTTCCACAGAACTTCATTCTACGGACACTGCTGTTGCCGCTGAAGGAACTCCAGACGGAACACGAAATCGTCTACGGAATGGCCATCGTCCTCACCGCCGAAGGAGACATTCCAGCGGTCTATTCAGATGTATCGGTTCCCGTTTCCGGCGCCCGAGTTAGAATACAACCGCGGCTAGTGTCAAAAACCCGCAGCCCTTCGATCCTCTATCCGCCACTGCCGTGCGTGGTGATCGCTCCTGCCTGCCGGATGGTACTCCCGTTCCTGGCTCAGGCTGTTAACGATCCCCGGAGAGTCATTCACCGGTGGCCGAGGTCGCTGCCTGGGCGGCAACTCTGGCAACCTTCGGTAGCATCTCTCCATCTCCATTCGCGCCGCCTTCTGGACACATCGGCGTGGGCACCATCTGCGTTTGCGGTCTGCTCTCTGCTGGCCTAAGGACGTCGTTCAGCAAAAGCATCATGTCATCAACGCCTGGCTAACACCCGACTCCTGAGATACGCGATAAGTTTGGTCCGTCTGTGACAGAGCTGCGTTTGCCGCCGAATCCGCTGCTGTATCCCCTTCCAGATTCAGCTCTTCAGGCCCTTCTGCTCCGGAACCAGCAGTTAATGCGGCGCCTCGACGATCGCCTTGAAATCAAGGATTCTGGGTGACCGATGATGTAGCAGATCCGCCGGTCGATCCCTAACCCGATCCACTGCACTGCCGCCTACCTGCGCCTACCTACCAGCCAGCGGCAACCCTGCAGTATCCTCTACGTCAATGGTCCAGAGATCGTCCTTTTCGTCGCCGGGTGGACCCATCGACCTTAGCTGGTGGCCGTGCCTATATCCAACCTCCTTATCCTCGGCCATGATTTTTCCCAATTGTTAAACAAGTACTTAAATAACCGTGCAGCGCGTAGGGTTGCCACGGTTCACTATTAAACAGTTAAGTCTATAACCGAAAAAAAATTAAAAATTCTGGGCGAACATAGGAATCCGACACATCCTAACAACAACAAAATACATTTTAAACAAATAAATAACAAAACACAAGCTTTAAACCTACTCTATCGCAGAAAAAATTACAGATTTTCTTCAGTGTACTCGCTATTACGATTTCCCCCGTGAGGAAAATCTTGGCTTCGGCCAGGATGCTATCACTGGTTCACTGGTAAGCCTGTGAACAGGAGCAAATTGTCGGCATTGTCTGCTGACCCCGCTCTGATTCAGTTTTTTCCTACGCCGTTAACTTCCCTGTCACCACTTCCAATGCAATCGCAATCTATGTTACAAGCCACCGTTCGGGATGGCTGGGGAGCAAGCGTCATAAATGGGCGAGACGTCGTCGCCTCGAAAATTTTTTTTTATTGGAGCTACAATGTTGCGAACTGCAATTTGTTTGGTGGCAGTGCCGCAGGCTCAGTTTTACCCCAGGGCGGAGTAACCCTAATGCCACAGCTCGCAACATAAAACATCGATAACCCCGCTGTCTCACAACACCAAACTATCGGCCATCACTAAGAACAAAACGTAAGCAAAGGTAAATAAATTCAATTCACTCCCGTTTTGGCAGCGAGTTAGTCCGGTTGTGTTCTGCTCGTTTCAAAGAAAAACCTACTTTTTGTGAGTATCAAAGGCTCTATGAAAAAGTGTGTGACATACAGTAGAATACTGCTTATAAGTGTTTGTTTCTTCTTTTAATTGTGAAGAAAAAGGAAAATTACTTTCATTAGAAGAGGTGTATTTTGGTGAGTTTTTGGCAGGCTTGTAAAGACAGCGGCTAACATGGCGGACGCCGGTAAAACGGTGTCGGTCAAATGCAAGCCCCCTGAACTAAGTTCAAGCAGCAAAAGCAGCGAAACCTTTATCAGCAGCCAGTTTTCGAAAGGAAGGTTCTTGTGAAAAAATCATGGCAAAAAAAAAGTGCATTGGTAATCATGAGTATGCAAGTATTAGTGCGAATCAGATGGACACAATGGATGACAAAACTGACAGCAATGTGAAACCAAATAACATGGCAGCCAATTCAGGCAGCGAAGAGAGTGAAAACACAAATAGGAAAAGTGTGGCTGCAGCCGACTGCAGTCAAAGTAACCCAGACGCGACCAAGAAAAATACCAACACAATTTCAGATCCTAATAAATTAACAAATAGTGAATTGAATACAGCAAACATTGAGGAAAAGCGTCTATCTTGTTTATAGGGAGAAAAACATGTTGGTGTAGTTGCTGTTTTAGATTTAACCAAGGAGTGTCAGCTGTTTGAAAATAAGAGAATCAAGAGTGGTCTATTTCTATTATATTATATATTTCTATTATTAGACATATCAAATTTCACGGTTTCAAGGAAATTATTCCACTTGCAGCCTCTCTATACAAAATATACTTTCAAAACGCTCGAGATGCCAACTCCCTAGTTCTAAATGCTTAGATAAAGAAGATGAACATAATAATAACATAACATCCAACAAATTTCTCTGAACAGGAAATTCTTGAAAATGTAAATTTTGTAGTAAAGGTTAATCGAGTTGAGCGCATGATGATACGTCAGGAAAACTCAAACGGATCTGAGTGTGTTAAGTACACTTGATACCAACCGAGACCGTTAAGGTCAGCTTCGATGGAGCTGATTTACCTGAGAAGATTGTTCTGTTTGAAACTACATACCAAAAGTGCGTCAGTGGTTTAAGTGTGGTAGACTGGGACACCCTGCTTTTACGTGCAAGTCATCAGAACGCTGTAAGAAAAGCGGTGACAAGGAAAGTCTTGGTACCTGCATTCTGTTTAATGCTGAAAACCACAGTGCCAAGGATAGACAAATCTGTCCAATACGGGCGAAGGAGCAGGACATCAATAAAATTATGACAATCAAAAAGATAGCTAGGAAGGAGGTATTAAGTACTTACTCAGTATCTCAAAATTACTCTCTCCTGGAGAATTATTATGGTAACTTTTCTCCCCTCAACAACGAACAATAGTCAGACACAAATTAAGGATCTCAAGGTAAATGCAGTACTAAAAAAACACAACTACGTTAGCAGATTGGTGAAGCCGTATACAAATGACACAAGTGACCATTTTCCTTTTTTCCCTGGGCTATCCACTGAGGATAAAATTCATCAATTCAAACGAAATCATAGATCTGATCAAAGCTACACACGATACCATACAAAATAGCCAAATTACCGCAAGAGAAAGAATATAACCAGTTACAGAGACAGAGAGTATCAAAATTCTTCAATATAACATTCAATCCTTAAAAAACATTAAAAACTATCTTGAATATTTTTTTAATAACGAGAACTGTGACATTGCCATCCTATCGGAGGTTTTTTTACATGACTTATCATATAGGAATATAATTAATTTTAACCTAATTGAAAAACACAGAGACACAAAAAAAGCCTAAAATTAAAAATATTTACATATGGCACAAACTGTGACATTATTGCAAGTGCCTCCAACAAAGGAACAAATATGCTTTTAACCTCTGTATATTTTTAAACCAACATTTCTCTCAGTAACTTTAAAGATGGAGTAAACAATTTAATAAAAAAATTTGACCCTTTCAACAAAGTTATTATATCCGGTGATTTCAATGCTAGATGTAGTAATTTTGGAGACAGTATAAACAGGAAAGGAATTTTTCTAAAAAGGGTACTGTCAAGTGCTGGATACAGACTTGAAAACAACAATATTCCAACCTTTAAAAGGAACATAGACTCAGTGTCGGGATCAGTGCTAGATGACCTTCACCAAAGGTAATTACTGTATTGAATGGACATGTAAAAGTTTCTACATTGGTGGTAGCCATAATTTTCCAATTGTTTACAAAATAAATGCTGATTTATGCTTACCTATAAAGTTCTTAGCAAAAAACAGATTATTCAACAAATTAGGAAAAATAGAGTCATGTGGTAGTGTATCAAACCTCACCAAAAGTATGACAAGTGAAATCAAGGCAGCCAAATATTGATTTGGAGCTAACAAAACTCCAAAGGCATGGTGGAATGATGAAATAAAGCAACTTTTCAAGGAATTTTCCGATTGTCAAGGTAAAGCATGTCGTGATCCGCCATATGAAAATTATGTGAATGCAGTTAATCTCAAAATCAAATGGAAAAAATCAGTCGCAATTTCCAAAAAAAACTTGTTTTTTTAAAAAGACAACTAAATTAAACACCAAACACGAAAACTGCGAGGAGGTTTGTAAAAAATCTGAAAAACTGTCAGGACGAAAAGTTAGATAGGTTCGATCTGGATAAATCAAGTTCCTTTATGGAATTTTTAATTGAGCAAATACCTCTTTTAAACAGATTGTCAGATGAAAGCCTATATTCCAGAAAGAACAATGAAAATCCGGGTTTTGTTCTGGAGGATCTCCAAGAAGTTCTTGATCAAGACAAAAAAACTGCAGGAGGTGCTTATTCAATAACTTACAAAATGATTGAGTCTCTCAGCACAGCAGCCAAGGTCGAGTTGGTAGCCTTCTACAACAATAAGGTTATGAACTGTGATGGATGGAGAATTATTAGGATCACTCCGATTCCCAAAAGAAACAAAGATTTATCCGATGTTAAAAGCTTTAGGCCTATATCCCTTATATCCTGTCTTGCCAAAACAGTAAATTGTATGATTAAAAAGAGATTAGAACTATTTATAGATGAAAACAAGTTACTGCCATTAGGTCCTATGCATACCAGAAAGGAAAATCAGCGGCGATGTGCATAAATGAAGTGATTTATGTCATAACTTCAAGGAAAAGGAATAGGCTAAATGTTGTACTAGCAGTTGTTGACCTATCCAATGTATATAACTGTGTAAATCTGAATTTCCTAAAATTAATTATGGAAAATGACAGGTTTTCAAAAGTCTTTATAGACTGGTTTCTTAGTTTTCTATCAAATCGTGTGTTGAAACTGGGCACTGCAATACAGGTTGCAAAAGATAGGGTTCCTCAAGGATCCGGCTTATCCCCAATTTTGTTTAACATATACACAGAAAGATTGCATCAAACCAATGAAGAAAACACTCAGATTATTCAGTTTACTGATAATTTCGTCAGGAAGAGCATTCAATGGTACGGTTGACAAATTGCAAAACAAACTGACAGACTTCAATCTACTATGCAAAGACCTTGGTTTTTCTTTCAACCCAAGTAAATAGGTTGTAATTAATGTCGGTAGGGGATGTAAAAAGGTAGCGAATGTAGCCGTAGAGAATGTGGATGTACCTGATCAAAAAAGTCTTACTTTTCTAGGTAGGATCACATCTGCCAACATGTCACATAAAGAGCATGTCAAAAAGATAAAAGCTTCAATATGCTACTACGATCAAGTTTGGGTTGAAACCCAAACAAACCTTTTCAAATCGTTTGTAAGAAGCAAGCAGGAATATGCTATAGTTAGTATTGCGGACATGGGCTGTGGAGTGAACCAAACCTTAGAGATCGCTCAGGCTGGAGCCTTGAGAAGATGTATAGGTGTGCCTCCTGGTACAAGCAAGCATGAAATTTTTGTTCTTGCCGGTGTGATGCCACCGATATTCAGAGCCAAACTTCTCACCGCCAAGGAATCATTCAAGCTGAAAGCACAAAGCCCCTTGCTCTTCAGGTCATCTCCGGCTGAAACAAGCTACACCAACACGATAAAGGACAATACCAAGCTACGCGACCTGTTTTACGTCTCCAACAAGATCTGTGTAAATGAAAAAGTCCTAGGCAAAAGCAAAAATGAATACTCATTTGAGGAACTCCGTGCATTTTATGGGGAAATCTTTGAGAAACATATTGGAAATGGATGGAATATAATTTCCACAGATGCGTCAATAGGGCCTGTCTCAAGTGGCATTGGGATGCTATAAATACTAGATACTTTAAGTGCCGAGCTAGCAGGAATCAAAGTTCAAGTACAAAAACAATGTGATAATCTGTGATTGCGTTGGGTCTATTAGTTTAATTAATAACAAAAAGTCAAGAGATACATAACACAAAGGCGAATTCAGATGTTGAAAAGCTAGAACTAGTTTGGGTACCTGGCCGCAAGGGCATTAACATAAACAAAAGACTGACCTTATTGTCAAATCATCTGTAAACGAAGGAGAACCATTCGAACTGGAATGAGGATTACAAGAATAAGTGTACAATCAAGGGATCAAACCTCATAAAGGTCTTCCCAAATATACCAAAAAGCCATGGCACCACGATCTAAAATGGAACGCCAAAAGTATAAAAGTTTTAAATAGACTTATGGTTGACTCGACATATGATAAGTTTTTTCTTTACAAAATAAAACCTGTAAGTACAAATTTATGCGATCTATGTAATGTACCTGAATATGCCAAGCATATGATCTTCGAATGCCAACAACTTAATAACATACGATCCAAATTCAAAATATTTAAGTACTATAAAGATTTGAAATAATCACTTAATAAAAAAGAATCACTCCATTTAAGAGAGCTTGCAAAATTCATAAGTACAGCAAATCTAAACTTTTAATCTACCTCTTATTTCACCCCCTATAACAAGTAAAATTCTGGGGAGTTTGGCCATACAACCACCTGTCAAGCTCACTGTCAGTCCTTGTAGGACCACCTTCTGTGGTTCCAAGTCTGAGACATTCAGAGTGAAGTACGAGTCTATGTACTATCACATCCTGAAGCTCCTTGCAAAACGCGACCTGTGGTCCTGTATCAACAACGCCATATCAAAACCTCTCGGATAACCTAACCGGAGGATAAAATACCCACATTTTTTGGCATCACTACCTTAAGAAGAACATTCGGAAGGAATAACTTCAATCATCACGACATTGAGAATATTCACGATTAATATCGATAGCAGCTGAGTCTACGTGGGTGAATCGCGCATGCACCTTCAAACCACTAGAACCTGGTCTATGCGGCAGTGTTGTTGCGACCAACAGCCCTATCATCCATGAGATGATTTAAAACCCAAAAAAAACATTTAATTTGACGGAAAAATGGGTTCATTTTGGTGGCTATCGTTGACTTAGCCAAGTGCTCCCACCCAACCAAGGCTGCACGTGGAATTCGGGTGGGTCATCACCCATTCTCAGTCGGCCGTATGCGCTCCTCACGACTACGACGGTTCCATCTCCCCCACAGGGACAAATCAATCACACATTTCGGGTTTTACAGACATTTAATGAACATGGTAAGTATAATCATTTACATTGGCTCCTCTTAACCGATCTATATTTCGTCAGCCTTCAAGACCAAAACTTGATCGTCGTCTTTAATATTTACCCAGTCAAAGCTGAGGATGCGTTTCCTGGAAAAGGCTACAGGCGCTGCGGGAGGTTATCCTCTACCAGCCAGGTGTTGGTAGAGCTCGCATGGAATGCGCGCGTTTCGGGTCACATAATCCTGAGGAGCTCCTGAGAAAAGAAGGGACAGGCCAAACGGTACGTAACCGGCGTAAAACTATACCACTGAAATTAATAATCGGGACCCTTTTTGTTCTAGGCAAATGCTCTCGGGTCTAATTCAGGATACATTTACAATTAAACGAAGGAAGTATATATAGTAAAGAAGATAAACTAACTAAAGATTAAATAAAAAAAGGAAAGCTAAGGCACAACGGTGAGTTGCGCAAGACCAGTCCAGGGTTCGGCCGCCCGACACATTGGCGGTACCTCTCAACGCTGCGATACGACGGCTTGAAGCTCCCAAGATGAGGTGGACGTAACAGTCTGAAACGGACTCACCGGAAAATGCTGGATGGCGTCGGTGTCGACTAAGATAGGCGGTTATAGCTGGACTTCTAAGCGGGTCAAACGGACACCGGATGCCGGCAGCCAATTCCTGATTTGTATGTAGGGCGAAATCGCGCATAAGTCCGTGGAACTCCCAAATACATATCACAGGGCCCTTTTTGTTTAAACCCCGGCTGCCCTACGGATGCTTTTTTATAAATAAAAGAACTAACATGTTAAATTTCCTAACACTCGCTTTTATTGAGTTTTAGGCACAAACACTTATCTTGGAACCTCACGCTGCGTCTGCCTGCTTAGACAATATGGTTGCGTCTATAGAAATACCTGCCTATCATCATCGGTCCTTCCCCGCCATATTGCATAGCCTCTCCCAAAATTGGGTCATTGGACACATGAGTGTTATTTAAGGTAATATCAGAGCGAACCGGGATTAACCCTTAAATGGCCAGATCGCCCGCCAGATTCGTCCTGCTGCTGCAACTATCGCCCAATCGTCCTAACCTAACGATAGAGTCCCTCCCATTATCGACACCAATTGCAACAACTCCACTGGTGTGAGATTTATTACTAGTATTTACGATTTTAGCTTGTGATGATGTTGAGATCAACTGACCTTGGCAAACGGCAATTTTCTGTTGCTGTGCAAATATCTTTTACACACTCTTTATGGAATATTGTTGCAGCAGCTATAAAATCACAGTTAACCGGGCAATATCCTTGAAGGTGATTTTCAGAAATGCAAGTGCAACATTGAAATTATATCTTTTTAGGAATTGTGATGGTCTTGTTATGACTATTTGTTGATTTCTTAGATAATGACACGACAGGTATATGCTTAAGTCACAATTACGATCTAGCGTCGCTTGTGAACGGTTGTGTTTACTCTTGTGCTCTGAATTTTTGTCTATTCTGTGATTTTTTGCGAGTGTTTTGTGTTTGTTTATTAACAAAGCTTAGTCTAACCGCTGGGTTAGTGTGTTTAGTGTTTTTTACTAGATCTCCCAGTGATTATAGTTATTTTAACATTTATATTAGATTTGTTTAATCTACTAGCTTTGTTAGTGTAATTCTTATACTCACTAAACTTGCTAAAACACTTCGATTCTCACTCTCTCTCCCGCTCTATATTACAACTGTAACTTAAACTCTCTCTGAACCTGCCAAATTTCTGGTAGACTTTTGGTGTGCTATTCTCTTGTCTCTCTCTCTCTCTCTCTTGCTTGCTTTACATTGTAACTGTTCCTGCGTAAAGTTGTCAGTGTCCCACAAGCAACGCTCAATCGATAGAAGATTTTTTCTCTCGTGCTCTCTTACGTTTAAATTATTACGCGATCTCGCGCTCTTATTTTTTTTCGTGTTTTGTGCCTTTGTGGTTTTGGAATTTGATCCCAGTGCCAAATTTACTCGAGGTATTTTTCATATATTATTTTATTTTATTTAATTTCCTTAAAATGGCTCTTGTCTGCTCTAAGAAAAATTGTACTCTTTCGTCTTCAACTAAAGACCCTTTTATTTTCTGCTGGCTCTGCGAGTCGATAATGCACGTTAAATGCGCAGGATTTACTGGTAGAGTCAAAGACTTCATTGATCAGAATTCTGGACTCATGTGGTCATGTGGATCCTGCAAGGAATTGGTTGTTGAGATGAGCGGCTTTATGAAGCAGACTCGAGACAGCCTTTTGAATCTCTCTGGTGCTTTTAAACAGCTCAATGAGGGGTTCAATTCCGTTTGTGCCCAATTTAATAATAAAAAATTACTAACTGAGTCGCCTAAACGTAAAAAAACCAGCTTAGCGGCAGTTAATACGGTCACGGTATCCACCCCAAATCCGAACTTGGTGGCTGCAGCAGTCTCTGTTGACACTGTGGTAAGTGAACCTACTGCACCTATGGATACAGCTGTTTTAGGTGAAGTCACTGCTTCTCGAAGTCGGGTGGTAAAAAAACCTTCAGTGCCGGCTACGGTGCCGACCGTACCTATAGGTACAGAAGTTACCGTTTCTGGCTCTCAGCTTAGTGAGGTGCAATCTGCTGCTGGGGGACGTAAGAAATTATCAGTTGTTCCACATAGAAAACAATTATTTGTTTCGAGATTCACCCCAGATACCACATCTGAGGATGTTTTGGAATTTATTCGTGAAAAATTCCCATCCGAGAATATTTCAGTGGAACAATTTAGATTTTCATATGCTCGTAGTATATCGTCGTTTAAAATATTTGCTCCGCCTGATGTGTTTAAGGTACTACTTTCTGAAAGCTTTTGGCTTAATGATGATTTAGTAATAAAAGAATTTGTTCCCAATAAACCGAGAACAAATAACAGACCTTCCACTGCGCCAAAAAACTAAAAAGTTTATTTTTGGCTTATCAAAATGTTAGGGGACTAAATATGAAGCTACCCAAGCTTTATGCTGACTCCTCTGCATTTACTGCTGATATTTTGGCTTTTACGGAAACTTGGCTGAAACCAGAGATATCTGACAATGAAGTTCTGTCAAACAATTTTAATGCCTATAGGACCGATCGCCCCTCACGTAGGGGAGGCGGTGTGCTGATTGCCGTTAGCACTAGCCTAACATCCGAGAGAATTCACTCTGATACTCCTAATGAAATTGAATTTGTTAGTGTGAAAGTTTCCTTGCAATCATTCTCTATATTTGTTACATGTTCCTATATTTCACCTGGCTCTGATTTAATAATTTATGAGCACCACCTGTCTGCGATAAAATCTGTTCTATCCCTTCTTTCTAACAGTGACCTTTTGATTGTTTTGGGTGACTTTAATCTCCCTGATATTTCTTGGTCTCCTCCTACTGACTCACTAGTCGCTATACCTCTATCCGCCCATGATTTTGTTGATGGTCTTCTAGAATTATCGTTACAGCAAGTAAGCTTTATACGGAATTCATTAAATAGACAAATAGATCTTGTGTTTGTTTCAGACCCGTCTGAAGTCACGGTATCTAGAATTGACGCTCTTGTTGTACCTGAAGACCGATTTCATCCAACAATGGAATTGACAATCTGCCTCCCATGCGTTGATACCCTCTCTCCTTTAGTTTCTCAAACTAAAGTGAGATGTTTCCGAAAATGTAACTATAAAAAACTTAACGACATGATTTCTCAATATAATTGGACAGAATTGTACAATTGTATGGATATTGAAAGTGCCACTGAACACTTCTATATAGTGTTAAATACCTTTTTTAATGAATGCGTTCCTGATAGGTTTCCTTCAAAGACAAACAGGCCACCTTGGTTTACCAATGCGCTTCAAAGACTTAAAAACCTTAAGACAAACACTTATAAAAAGTATAAGAAATCGGGTAAGCCATCTGATTTTTCGAAATATGTGGTGGCTCGATCGGATTTTAATGTTCTCAATAGTCATTGCTATTCTATGTATTTAAGTCGATGTAAATTTGAATTTTTAAATGATCCGAAGCAGATTTATAACTTTGTCAATGCCAAGCGTAAGTCGTCAGCAATGCCTTCATCGGTACGTTTTAACTCAATGGAGGCATCGACGGATTCTGAAATTGCTGATTTATTTGCCGAGTTTTTCCAAACTACTTATAGTTCGGCTGCTTGGTCAAATTCTAACTACCCTAATCCCTTAAATAAGGCAAATTGCATCTTTATCCCTGAAATTACGGAAATTTCTCTCGTAAGAGACTTAGAAAAAACAACGCCAACTTATTCTCCCGGTCCTGATGGACTCCCCGGGTGTGTGCTTAAGTTTTGTGCGTCAACCATATGTAAACCGATTCTTAAACTTTTTAATTTGTCTATTTCATCGTCAGTTTTTCCTACTATCTGGAAGGACTCTTTTATCATTCCACTTCACAAAAAGGGTGCGAAGGCGGATGCCCAGAATTACAGAGGTATTTCTAAATTGTCGGCAATTCCTAAAGCATTTGAACGTATTATTACTTCTCATTTGCAACATTTATGTTCCTCGCTAATATCACCGTGTCAGCATGGTTTTGTTAAGCGAAGATCGACCACCACCAACCTTCTGGAATTGTCATCTGTTGTAATAAATGGATTTAAGAATAAAATGCAGACTGACGTTATATACACTGATTTTAGTAAGGCCTTTGACTCTGTCAACCACTCTCTTCTCTTATTCAAATTAAATCAGCTTGGGTTTCCATGTAATCTATTAACTTGGATTTCAAGTTATTTGAATGGTAGGACTCAGAGGGTTATATTCAAGAACGCTGCCTCAAAACTGATCTATGTGACATCTGGAGTGCCTCAGGGTAGTCATTTGGGCCCTTTGCTGTTTACTTTGTTTATTAACGATCTTCCCTCTATCATAACACACTCTCGTGTACTAATGTATGCTGATGATGTTAAGCTTTGTTTATCACATAATGATATAGCGTCGGGTTTCAACTTACAGTCAGATATTGATTGTTTTCAGGGATGGTGTGAGTATAACCTTTTAAATTTGAACTGCCTTAAATGCAACGTTATGACTTTTCATAGAGGTACTCCTACTTTTGTTAGTTACTCTCTTCAAAATACGCCACTCGGCCGTATAAATTCAGTTAATGACTTAGGCGTTCTTCTGGACCCAAAACTTAAATTTGACTGCCACATAATGTCCACTGTCAGCAAGGCCATGAGTGTTCTTGGGTTTATAAAGCGTTGGTTAAAAGAATTTGATGACCCTTATACAACCAAATTATTATTTACCTACCTTGTCCGTCCTATTTTGGAATATTGTTCTTCGGTTTGGAGTCCACAATATCAAGTGCATATTGACCGTATTGAGTCGGTACAAAAAAAATTTCTTCTTTTTGCCCTTCGTAGTTTGAACTGGGATCAAAACATAAGGCTACCTTCCTATCAGAGTAGATTACTATTGCTTAATTTACCTACCCTTGAAAATCGTAGAACAATGCTTGGTACTATTTTTATGCAAAATCTTATAAGAGGTGATATTGATTCTATAGAACTTGTAAACCGCCTAACTTTCAATGTTCCTGTTAGACTAACACGAAATTATTATCCCCTAAATTTGCCAAGATGTACATCTAATTTTTGTCTGCACGAGCCCTTTCGCGTTCTATGTAATAATTATAACAACCTTTATCATTTAATTTGCACTTCAACTTCTATCCCGGTATTAAAAACTAATATTTTAACTCATTTTCTTCATTCTTAGATGCTTCCTTTATTTTCATTTGTGTCCCGTCTCTATTTGTTTTTTGTATCTTCCTCGCGAACTCGTATGTTTTGCCCAAATTGATAAAAGGGCCCCGCGCGTAACAAGCACGTGCTTGGTGTCGTTGGGCCACTTGTTTGTACTGCTCGTAGTGCATCAACGTCCATCATATATAGTATTCGTTTTTTTTTACCTTTGGTACCTTTAGCTGTGTAACGGGTATCTGATAGTCGAGGTACTCGACTCCTCCAGCACCAGCACCACAAAAATTCTGCGGATTTGCCTGTTGAGGTATTGCTTCCTGTCGGTGAAATCCCACAATAAAGGGCAACAGCTTGGAATAGGCGTCCTATTTCATCTGCACTGACATCCTGTAGTCGATTTT